AGAAATAACGTTTACTAATTTATTTCGTTTAATTTAACTCGGAGATTATCACTACGGTGTTGACAGTTCTGTTGCCGGAAACGGAACCCGGAAAATTTTTATAGCCTTAAGTATCTTAATTTTCAGACATAATTCTCTATCTATAATAGTGAGTAATGCTACACATTTAAGTTGATATAAAAATTCTGGCGACTATTCGTCAGAGTACACGTATCATACACAGCATGTGTGCTAGCTTTACTTTAGAAGTAATAGTTCAGTTATTATTATCTTAATTAAAGCGAAAGAATTACTTTGATGAAATCCACAAGAAATGTGTATTAAAAGTTTGTTTGGAATCTGATAAATTTTGAAAGTGTTTTATTTTTTTTTAAATTAGATTTATTAATAATATATGGAACATGTTATACAATTGAAAACTATTGGTATTATTACCTCTTAAACCTTCCATTCACTAAGACGTGTTTTGCAAAATATAGACGTGAACACGGAAAAAGAAAAATATAATTATTTCTAAACCGCTTGGTTTGGGATGTAATATAAAAGTGAAAATTTTAATATCTAATTTTAAAACAACGTTGAAACAAATGTGAATATAAAGTGTACTTATTTATTTAACATATGCTTCTCAGAATTTTATGCGTGTTTTTATTAGAAAGGGAAATATATTTGCATGTTATTTTATGGTCTTTTAATGAATAATTAAATAAGCTTCCTTATAAATTAAAAATAAAATTATAGCAATGTATTTATAACGTAATTCATTTACATACATACATTTGTGTCCATAATATTACGGCCGTTATCCTAAAGCTTAAAAGATAAACATAATGCATTATCCCGGGAACTTTATATAGCACATTAAAAGGGTGAAGTGCTTAAATGATGTGGCAACTTAATTTGATTTACGCCAAATAAGTGTTATAATGGCGATTATGTTCAACATTATAACAATGTGTGTTATTTAAAAACAAGTATAAAAATTTTTTTACTTAATGTTTAGGTAACAAAAATTTATATTTAGACCTTTCAGTTGATTAAATTTTACATATCAGTTATAAATAAGTGTTGTATTGACCTCTTATAGATTGCGTCTGTTTAAATAATACAACATATAGGATAAAAATTCATTTATACGAAAGAAATCGCATAATATTTTTAAAGAAAATGATATATTTCAACGGAAGGATTTCATGAAATCACGCGCCACTTATTCTCTGATATAAATTTTTCGTTCAGTAATGGTCGCTTTTTAGATTATTTTGAACTCAGCTCAAGATTCTTTTTGTTTTTCCTTATCTTAATTTTTAAACTGTTGCAGTGGGATACTCTATTTATTAAATAATTTATTCGAAACAACACATAGATGTATAAAATCCTAGAATACTATCTATTGAACTATGTTACAGCAGTACAAATAGATTTTCCAATTATTTTTAAAAGCGTTCTATATTTCCATATTTTTATATCGAAAGAAATTTATTTTTAATAGTGACTTTTGAAGTGGTTATCTCTACTTATTTTAGGGTAACGTAACGTTTCGTAACGTAACGCGTTACGGCGCCACTGTGACTGGTTTTCCTTTGTTATGTAAACGGCACCAGTACTACACGTATGCAGCAAAAGTGTTTAAATTAAATTTATTCCTTAACAGATTCCTCAACTTTTTAATAATTTTTATTTTAAATATTTAGTTTAAGTTATCACTTCTGTCCAGTGTCTCGAGAGTAGTAGTTTTTATTATATGTAGCTTATATACTATGATAAAAAGAAAGCTTAAGTTTTCTTCAGAATTTTAAGCAACGTCCGGCGCTATCAATACTTCGCTAGGTGACCATTTTGATTTATTTGACACTTCCATATTCGAGGAATGTTTTATATAAAGTCGAATAAGATTGAAATATGGTTTTGAAAATATTAATTTATTAAACTTGCTTCTAAGGAAAAAATATTTCAAATTATGCTGTATTTGCAATTTATATTTCTATTAAGCTCTACGGCTTTGGCAGAGTCACTGGGAATTATTTTATTTAATTATGTCATACAAAATATAATCGATATAACTATTTTTTGTATGAAAAAATATAAATTGTAACTTTTTTTGAGATATGAAACAAGTTTTAAATATTGCATTATAATCTGACGGATTGACATGTACAGACGTAAACAAAATAATATTTTTTTTTTACCTGTCATGAAAAGTATAACGGCTGAAATCAAAATCGGAGTGAAAATTTCCAGTCAAATGCTTGTATTCCGAAAAGTAAAATTTGATACGTTGTTTCAGAAAATAATACCACGTTTTTTATTCAAACTTTTATTTATAAATATTTTAATACTACTATTACAGAAATAGGTTTGTTTGTTCGTGGCACTTATGCACTCGTGAAAATTAGAGTACGTGTGGTGTGAACTGCAAGTGGAAATGGATATGAAATACGTATATTATGTATATACGTATAGGCATTATATGTTCTGAAATAAAAACATGACAAAAATATAAAACTCAAATGTATATATAATATTCCCAAATTATTCCATGAAATAAATATTTCATTCTTAGTTTTAACGCAGGAAAAAATATTCTTTGCTAAGATGAAATTATATACAGTAGAATGAAAAGATGTTTTATGTCAACCCCTTAATATCCTCCCTCACGTATCAAGTTTCAACGTAAATAGACAACACAAAAGCTAGTTTTTGTTCGCGTTGTATACGACGCTATATGATATTTTTTTAAGTTATATTGTGTTCCATATCCATTTTATAAGTATGTTTCATGAATTTATCCCTCAGAACTAAAAGGGTGAAAAATTTTACTGTTTCAAGACGTAAAAGAATACGTCATCGTTTTTCGGTGCCTTTTTTTTATTTGTTATGTCCTTAAGAACTTTATTTTTATTTGGTTTACCAGATTTAAAATACAAATAAAATCTCTCATTATTTACAGTTTATCTGACCACTATGTCTACACTACTCACCATGCGAAAATGGAAATAGAATTGCTAAAACTTTCGTACCAATTTTGTTTTTTTCCAAAACATCTAAATCTCTCGGAGCCACAGACATATCGATACTTCTAAAAATACAACAAAAAATTCACAAAGGAACATTGAAACCGATTCGATTCTAGTTTCAACATGTTTTTTCTAATGGGCAAAGAATAACGGAAAGAAAGAAATGGGATTCACACAAAGTGATTTAGTTAAGGTGTTTCATGATTAGTTATTGTATATCTTAAAGCCTACTATAAATAATTATAGTTTTGAAAAAGTCAAGGTTTTAGTAAGAAAAATTAGGACTAACACAACAATATATAAACACTGTATCCCACTTCTACATGAAACAGACAAAACAAAAAAAAATAACTGTTAAACAAGTTTTTCTATTAACCATTAAACCTTACGAAGAATTTCAAAGCGATCTTTAATTCCATTGAAAAATAAAAGTATTGGTTTTAAAAATATATTAAGTGAATTTACATAATATTTTTATAAACGTTACTAACATACAGAAATATAGTTAATTTCTGTTGAATGATATTTAAGATTTTTCGGATACACATTTAAAATGAAACGTCGAGACGAGATGAACATGTCTGCCCGAAACACGGTTGTTGTAAAGTAATCGAAATGTCGGGAAAATATAAAAAAATAGTAACATAACCGCGTATTTTATCCGAAAAAGAGAGTGAAAATTTAAATTTTGTTGTTTAAAGTCTATAATAAAACAGAAAGTAGGATAATAATTTGGTAGTTATCTAAAGTCAACAGATATCAGATAACAATGTCGTTGAAAGTGATAAATATATTTAGCCATTATCTGTAACGACTGACTTATGAAAGCGACTACAAATCTTCTTAGTATTCAATGGAGTCACCTACCTATGCCTGTGCCTGGGATTTGCCACCCAGGTGTAAGTTTAAGGAGCCCCTAGCTAACGCGCGTTAAACACTCGCCTCCACCTTCTAAGCTCCTCTCTCAACCTAACCAAACTTAAAAAGAACCTACTAGGTCTCCTTTCGAAATACGTTCCAAAAATGAATTGATATTAGTTGTGGACAGGATCAAGTCTTTTAGTTTGTTGTAGAGGTATTTGGCTGTTATATCTTTTGCTCCCACTTCTACCGTATAGAAATCCACGAGGAACCTATTCCTAGTGAGTTCGTCAGTGAGCTCGTAATACTTATTCACCTTGATGACATAATCTTTGGGGATTTTGATTTCTCAATAAACCTTAATCTTTACTGCAGGCTCTAACATGATAAAAGTATAAGAAAATTATATAAATAAGTACTTTTTTTAACTGTTTTGTTGGTTTATAATTTGGAGTTCTGTTACAAATTTCAAAATGATTAAAATCTTATTTTTTTTACATTAGAATTTAAATGTTTAGTGAGAGTTTAATTTACTATATTATAACTTTTATTTCTAATCAGAATCGATTTCCTGAGGTAAAAATTTCCAAAACTTATTTTATTTTTATTTGCAAAACAAAGAAAACTAATTACGGAAATTTTGTTACATATGTGTAAATAACAAGATAACTGATACTTCATATTTGCAGTGTCATCTCAAGTGAAGTTTAATAAAGCAATGAAAACATTCACGCAATGAAAGCTGGAGTCTCCCAGATTTATGCAATGAAGTTGATAGTAATGTGACAAAAAGTTATACTAGTATATAGTAATGATATAATTCAAATAAGAATAATATTTTTAAGATCCATTATAAATATATTTTGCTTAATTTCATATCAACATAGGAACATACATTTTTAAATAAAATATATAATATATGAACAACCAATCAAGTTTAGCAAAAAATATATAAAATCGTTTAGAATAAAATAATGTTTTCCAAGTTTTTTGTTGCCACCACCTATTCATAACCCAACTCGAAGTAATTATCCTTGGGCACGTTGAGGATATTTGGTGTAATTTGTTGAATATCATCAGTATTTAGGGGTTCGCGACGTTTCTTTAGATAATGGAAGCAGCATGATCGAAATCTTCGTGTTCCACACGCTGGAGCGCATTCCACTCCACACGAATCGCAGTAGAGGTTCGCTGTACATAATGTACTCACTAAAAATATATCAAAATTATTTCATTAACATTTTTTTATATATATTACTCTGTAGGAGATATTTTTATTATGAAATTTATTCCTCCTTACCTAGTAAAATGAAATAAATAAAAACTTTTATCTTCAACATGTTAACACTAACGTTGACGAATCTTCTGTGATGGCACCTCATTTTAACACGTTTTTATATCATCCAAGTAACACTTAAGAAGTACTACAGTTAAAAGGGGTGTTACAACTGTTTGTTGTCTTGTATCATGTTACTACATCGTTTTTCCATTTCGTGAATTCATTTCAATCATTTTATTGAATAAAGTATTTTATTTGCTTCAATAATATCTTTGGTTACATAGAGAATAACCTAATTGTTTGAGTTAAAATACATTTAGAAGTCATTTAGTTAAGATATATCTATAAGTATACATATTATAATAACTTATAAAACTTCTTGAAATTTTTGTTTCGATATTTCTAAACCAACTTCTATACCATGAATAGATGAGTTGGATATAAGAAGAACACATTATTTCTAGAAGCGTAATTAATATCCAGATACTTCGATGTAACTATAGCCCAAGTTTTTGTAAAGATAAGATTAATGCTACGACGCAAGTACACTCAAATTGCCTAAGAACTCTACTTCTTATAGAACTCTTCTATTTATTTTCTGTAAGAACCAGAAAAAAACCTTTTCTGGTCCAAACGATAAAATATTTAATTATGTATTTATATTTTTTATAGTAGCAAAATTTTCTTATGTTGCATATGAGTATTGCATATATTTTTATTTTATATTTATGAATTTGACAATAAGTAATTATATGTACAAGATGTTTGCCAATTTCATGATTAAATTATCTTGTAGGACATAGCAGGAAAGATAACAGTCTCTGAAGACGCAAGTAGTTTTAATTTTATTCCTTTATAAAATGTAAATTTAAAGAAAGAAAGAAATAAAGCTATCTGAGAATTGTTACACAGCTTTAGTAAATAATTTACACGGTGTTGCAAACACTTATTTAAAAAGAAAAAAGTGACTTTGTACGTTATGATCTTTACATTTTTTTTGAATTTTGTATAAAATAATTTTTACTTGTTTTTTTCGTATATTTATTTAATTTTATGTTAATGATTTTATTAATTCATATTTTAAAGAAAAATATAAATGTATACATTTTTGGAAATGGAACAATTAAAGCACGTCAGGAACATTTGAAAACAAAATACATTTAAATAAAATAGATTCCATTTGTTTTAAATATTTCATTGTTATTGAACACTATCTCTGTATCAGTTTAAAAACATAATTGTTTTATTGAATATAGATCCCTGCGAGCGTTGGTATATAAAAAAAGATTATAATATATTTATAGACACAATACTTTTCTGTGAATATCAAATTCTTTAACAATTTAAAAAAATATATATTATTTTAAATGAATCTTCAGTACTCATAAAGAAATTATTTAAAATATATTTTTATTTAGCATAACTGCTTCAATGAACATTCTGATGCATTTAATAAGGTTATATCAAGCTGAAAATAATGTTCATATACATGTATACATATATGATGAAGTCCAAAAGCTTATGCATATCAATGTTTTAAACAAAAGACTTTAATTTATTATTTTATCAGAGTATATCGGTTTTAATATTTAACTAATTTCAAAGTGTTTCCAATTTTCATAAAAAAGTTATGCTTTATTAAAGTATTACAATTGAAATCGGAAATAACGATTGAATAATTTAAAAGCAGATAGATGCTGTTCGTGTTAATGAATATTTTATTCCGTATTTTGTATCTGGATTCGAATTTCTTAACATTGTTTTAATGTTAAATAATAATAAGGAAATAGTATTTAATACGTTAATTTATACAAGTAAGCCGTTTTATGATGTAGATTAAAATAAATTGTTAGCAAATGTGGGAATACATATATACATATACCTTTTATCGTTTGTATCAATTAATTTTTATAGGAAAAATATTAAGAATCCTTTTTAAAACCAACAATAAAAACAGCTGACATCATGTTACCTGTACCTATTTGTTGTGACAGCATTAATTCTGTTAGTACTTGGTATTGTACCAGACACAGAGAAAACAGTTCTAATCCACTAACGATGCTACAACACCTGCTAACAACTTGAAATACAGATTTACGTTTGACATATTACAATGTCTTCACAGTAAATAAAATGATTTTGTAATCCTATTTTACCTTTTGTTTATCTAGAATACAAGGTTCTTCTTAGTAATAGACGATATGGGTTTCACAGAAATCGGTATACTGGGAAGACTCCGAACACCTACATTTATTAACCATCCTAGGAAAATAAATTAGGGAGTTTCATTGAGGCTAAAACGTAGACAGCTACGATTAAAATCCTAGAGCTTGAAAAAGTGCGGAATTACTTAAATCCTGTATAGTCTCTTTACCTATCTAGAGTATACGTCTGATCGTGTGTGAAATACTTCTGCTACATCTAGGTAGTTGCTGCCAAAAATATCATCCCGCTGTTGGTACTCCGTGAAGATATATGCAAATTGGTTTAAGTAACCACAACTTAGCTAAATCTAGCCAGCCTTGAGTACAGGGAAAAAGTAGCTAGCCTCTCGTGATTTTGTAGATTACACTTTGGAGAGTGGGCTCAGGAATTGCACAGTTTAATTTCTGCATGCACTCTTTTTCATCGGACATCCAGATAAAATAAAGGGTTTGAAGATTGTTCCCGCTCCTGAATTTCTTCGGATTATAACTTATGTGTATTCAGGAATAAAGTGTATAACCTGCTGCTAGTCTGGTCTAAGTTTAATAAAAAGAAATCTCATGACATAATTAACATAGATAAATATTATTTGTGTTGTACTGAACTTGAATTAATATTGGATGTTATTACTGCATAATATTAATCATTTTGTTTAAAATTTTAAATGTTTGCCTCGTTGAATATCAGCTCATAGATAAAAATTCATTAAAGTTTAGAATCTTTCTTTGATAATAAGGTATTAAATTTAATATTAACCTAGAATATTAACTAAGACATAAGAAAAAATAAAGGCAAAACTTATATAATAAATCATTTTAAATTTAATGAACTAGTAATGTTACTGTGATGTAATAAATATTCTGGACTAACTACACACTTTAATATCAGAAAAATTTATATACGTATAAACATATATTTCGCATGATATTATTTGTGAAATAATATTATATTTCCCTGGCACCTGTAAATCTAACTAAAGTTATTACACACTTCAGTTGCATATTTTACACTGTTATCTAAAAAAGAATTCATTAAATTGTTGTTCTTGTGTTTACATATAAATTAAGAAGCCCTATTTAGTAACTCGGCGAAAAAGCATTGATACACTTAAATATAGCTACATAGATACAAACAGTTATTTAAATCTGCTTTTTTCAAGGAACGAATAAATATACTCATACATAAAAACTTTTAGCATTAAAATATTGTTAGTTCTTTTTTTTTATGTGAAAGCTGACAAACGAGCAGACTTGATGGAAGGTGGTTACCGTCGCCCATAGACATCAGCAACATCTTTGTTGCGGATGCGTTGCCAACCTTGTATTGTAGGGATAGGGAGAGGTGGGAATAAGGAAATGGTAGGAAAGGGTGGGAATAGGGAAAGGGCAACCGGCTCTCTCACTCACCGGACGAAACGCAGCCATTTAAGGCTACTTCACGCCGATCTTCTGTGAGAGGGTGGTACTTCCGCGGTCGAGCCAGCCCATGTTCGAGCTGTAGTAACTGACTTCAACTAGGCTCTATCACCTAAAAAATTTTACAATATGACCTTTATCGTTTTAAAACATTTGTACCGTATTAATGACTTTACCTCAATTTACTAATAATATATATTATAGATGAATAGACTCAAATCATTGAATCAGAGATGAAATTTACATTGTATTGTTTTTCGAATATAAATGGTTACCGATGTTTTCATGACCAGGACAGCGGTGCTTGTATTGAAAGTTTCTGATACTAATGACCTTTGTACCTATACAAATCTTGTGCTCACGTGTTACTCGGACCTCTCTATTGAAAACGGTCAAAGATGAACTTAATGGATTATATTTTTTCCTGAACAGTTATGATCGGTAACTTACTACAGAATAAGAAAAAAGTTTAATGCCTTTTTCTATGTAATAGTATAAGATGTACTCGTACATTCATTTATTTACACTTTTTGTACACCACAATTGCAATCACACACAATTATAAGATACACAAACTAATAAACTATTGGTGAAAGAAAAGGCGGCCTTATGGCTTATTAGCCATTTCTTCCAGACTACCTTAGGTTAGAGGATTTTGTTTGAAAGACAGTATAGGGTGGTGCAATTTTAAATACTCTTAAAATAATTTTAACATCAACACATACAAAAATAAATAACGGTAATAAATATTCAATAATATGCATACGTACATATATCAATAAATACATACATACATGCATACTTACATTCATACATACTAATACATATAAATACATACATACACATATATATATATGACGTTACAATAAAGTCGAATTAAGTATTTTTTTTTTTTTTTTCCTACAAGATGTTGTTTTTCTCTTCTAATATCGATTTTCGTTTCTCCGGTGAAGTATATTGGCCCTATGTGTAGAAAATTTTAAAGTTATAAGTAAACTTTTTCATGGCGATGGCGTCGATTAACTTTAAGGTTGAATGTTTATTTATTTTCTCTTTATTAAAAAAAAATTTGCCCTAAAAGCATAATTCTGTAAACTAAAGAGGTGTTATTCAATTCACAAGGAATTTATTTAAATAGGTGTAAAATGATACGAAAGTACTTAATACAAACGCTGTCTGCCACTTAACATATTTAAACAAATTCTGGATTTATATAAAAAGGAGTCTTTTTCACTAACAGTCATTCCACTACTAGGGATCGACTATCAAACAACAGTTATTTAATTCTCTCTTAAAATGTTAAGAGTCACAATCATAGTAACTTTAATGCTTATCGGTAAGGGATTCTTATCATCCACTCTTTAAATAATTTTAATATTACTGTAATGTTTCATATCAGTCAGTGGTGGCCTAGTGGTTAAGGGGCCCGCCTCTCGTTGCCGAGGGCGCGGGTTCAAACCTTGGCAAGTACCAATGTGATTTTTCGGAGTCATATGTACTTTCTGAGATTATTCAGACATCACTGACATACGGTGAAGGAAAACATCGTGAGGAAACCTGGACTTATAGTTTCACAATTATAAGTTTGAAATCACCAACCCGTCTTGAGCAAGCGTGGTGATTAATGCTCAAACCTTCTCCATGTGAGAAAGAGGCCTTGCTCAGCAGTGGGCGCTGATAGGCTGATGACGTATGACGTTTCATATCATACGTTGTCTAATAAACTGTATTTTAATTATAAATCTATGAAATCTTTCAAAATAAGTTCATAGAATTGATGTGTGTTCTGCACAATTAACAACGAATGAATTATAGCAAATTTTTAACATTTTTTTAACAAACAATGAAATATAATGAGTTTGAATAAATAAATACTTTTAAAAATCAAGTATCATTGGCTTATAACTAAGGTCTGTCCCTCGAATAAAAAGGGCTCAATATTATTTAATATAACTCACAATAATCTAGCCAATTTATATATCTAATAATAATCTATCAAATTTAAGTAATTTTTAACTTGTATCTATTTTTTTTTCAGTGAGTGCAGTATGCATCAATCTGTCATGTAATTCATGTGGCATCGAGTGTGCTCCGGCTTGTGGAACGAGACGATTCCGTTCCTGCTGCTTTAACTACCTGAGGAAGAAACGAGAAGATCATGAATTCACTTATAATATTGAACAATCAAAGATACCAGTTTTCTCCATTGATGATCCCGACACTTGGAGCGTACCTGAATACAATGGTTTCAAGATTGTCCCAAACGATTTTCGTGTAGAAAATGCATATCATAGAATGTAGACGATCACTTCGGAAGTATTGCGATAACTGCATATTTATTAGGTTCTATATTTCATTCTTAATCTGATTTGTAATAGTTTTTTAAATAAACAGAATTGCAAGAAATAGATATTGTTTTAATAATTTAGAACTTCGGACTTTACTTTTCTTGAAGATATACGATTATAATATTAGACATATTTCATTTCATTTGATTTCTTCTACGAGAAACAACATTTTATAAGTTAATAGCAAAGATTAATTTACCTCGCTTTAATCTAAAATGTTACATCTTTTAAAGTATGGAAGCAAAAAACAAACCTTCTTAATATAATGAAGGTTATGTACAAGTATGTCATGAAAACAGAAAATGGCTTCATATATGAATATGAGATGTTTATTAAAATAAATTAATGACACTACTACATTAACAATAATTTTTTTCACTTTAATAATACTCATGTAAATAGTAAACTAAATATAATTAAATATCTATATTTGATTAAAAGAAAATCATAATTGTAAAGGGGATACTAGGAGATTGTTAATAATTCATGAATTTTATAAAAACTATAATCAAGCTTACACAAATATAAACGTGATGAACCTAACACCTAAAACTTGTTTGTATTCAAATAAAAATTGAAGATACTGATGAATGACGGTCTCCTTACAGCAACTTTTTTCTTTGTTTGCGTTATTTAAAATTTTATAGCTTTGAAGCGAAAATAATAAACAATTGAAGACAAATGAATTGCATAACTAAACTTATATATATACTTTTTAAATCAGGTACACCAATTTCCTGTTTAGATGAACAAAAATTATTAATATTTTATATTTAATCCAGAATAATTTCCCTTATTTTATAAATATATAAGATGTAAATACAGTTTATTTTGTCATCTTATCTGTAATGAATGCTCTGAGTCTTGAACAATTACAAAGAGTAAACAACTGAGCCATATCTTGGGTATCGATTATTCTTGTATAATTTTATTGAGCCTTCAGGCTACGTGTCTTTTTACAAGGTATAATTTGTTAATGTATATTTTATATAAAACAAGTAGTTATTGGAATTTCAAAGCTCTTAAGTCCATGATTTGCAAAAGATATATCCCTAGATACCTTTCACCATGTCACAAAAGTATTTATTCTTTTAAAACTATTTATTAGAGTAAAAGATAATGAGCCTACGGATGACATAGCATATTTTACAAATAGAAAAATATTTGTAGTAATAAAACATAAAAAACGACCTCAATATTTTTAACTTATTGGCTTGATGCAATATAGAAATTCCTTTTATAGCTCGAACCTGGTAACTTTAGATGTAGAGCTATATCTAAGAGTTGCTGGGCTTCCAGTAATAAAACACATTTTTTTTTGTTTCAGTTCAAAATATGAACGAATCTTGACTTTTATATTAATTAATTTAAATTGTTTTACTTACAACTTGTATTAATATCAACCACCTTCGTATTTAAACACACAGTTATGTCTTAGGACATTCGGATCAAATGAAGGGCAAGGAAATCATTTTGTTAGTGACAACTCAGTATTTTAATAGCTTCATATGTATGCCAAATTATGTACAATTAACTGTTTAGATATATCTAGATATTAAAAAAATTCAACTTTTAAACATTTCATTGTTACTGTGCTCTATATCTATATTAATTTAAAAACATAATTGTTTTGTTGTATATTGAATATTCTTTGAGTGCTGGTTATTATATAAAAAAAGATTATATGTTTATATACATATGTATATACAAAACATTTCTGTATTTCTGTGGCTACCTAACTCCTTAACTATTTTTTAATATTTTTTTTTTAATAAATTTTCAGTACTTATAAAGAAGTTCTTTAAACTTAAATATCTTTATAGCATCGCTGTTTCACAAATATTAATATCTGATGCATTAGAATAGTGAATAATATCCATATAACGAAGTCAACAGATTTATATATAAAAGTTAAAATCAAAAGACTATAATTTATGCAAAAATGGATACATAGCATAGAGTGGTTTAAATATTTTAGTAATATCAAAGCGTTTAAAATTTTCATTACAAAATGTTTTATTAAAGTATTGCAAAATATCTAGAAAACAAAGTTTTTGTCATAAATAGAAGATACAGATTTTACAGAAATCGCTATCCTGGGAATACTCCCACTACCTTCATTTATTAACCATGCTCGAAATATAAATTATGGCGTTTCATTGACGCTACAAACAAACTCGGAGAGTTTGAAAAAATGCGGAATTACTTATATGTAGTTTGTCTAAACTAAAATGAGTCATAATAAATTTTTAGCTTTTAAATATTTTATTAAAACATTTCGTACTTTACTGATGACATTTCTTCAATTACTTATAACAAAAATAAATAGACTCAAAACATTGAATCAGAGATGATGTTTAAATTGTATTGTTTTTCGAATATAAACGGTTGTCGACGTTTTCATGACCAGGCAGCGGTGCTTGTATTGAAAGTTTCTGACACTAATGCCCTATGAACCTATATAAATCTTGTGCTCATGTGTTACTCGGACCTCTGTATTGCAAAGGGTCGAAGATGAACTTAATGGATTGTATTTCTTTCTTAACAGTTATGATCAGAAATTTTTTATAGAAAAGGAACTGAATTCAATCTATTTATCCTACATTATCTATGTACTCCTACATACATTGCAATATACGTAATGGGGTTTTTATTACTTTTATTTCATAATATATTGCTATACATAACTTAAGTACATATATGTAGGAATATATCGGTGCTATCGGCTTTAATAACGGATGCGACATGAAAATAATTTGAGGCTGTTGTCAATTCTTATTAAAACTCATTAGTATTCATGATTATTGTTAATAATAAAACGAAATCAAATATTGTTTAAAAAGAGAATAAAACTATGTATAAATCTTGGTATAAATATGACGTCTGTACGGACGACGGCAGAGTTGAGAGTTCAGTGAGTGCGTACCATTGAAGTATGTGATTATGAAGAACCTTCGAAAAATACAGGAGCATTAAGAGCAATTGAAGTTTCATTTTAAAATATCATGGAAAGCTCTAGAAGAAGTGACATTTGTTACGTCAGCGAGGCTGGCGTCTCTCTTTTCAAAAACAATGAATTTGTAATAAATCCGATATATACATAACTTATGATTTATTTTTATATTAGGAATGGAACTTAGATATTTGACTTTATATTTCAATAAAGGACAGAATGATTTTGAATTTGATCTTGCTTATTAAAAAGTTGTCCTTTACGGTACCCAGGGATAAAGTTTTCATATTACTTGTTTATATTGATATCTAATCTTAGAAATCTTCTTGAAATGTCAATACCGTTTTCTTCAAAATACTACTAAATATTTTAAGACCTTCTTGAATCCATAAATTGGTACCTAACACCCTTGCTTGTATGTTCCTTTTTATAATTTTTAATGTCAGTAGCGCCTAATTGTTATATCTGAGTTCTATTTCGGCTTAATCCAAGTGAAGTCTCTTACGGAAGATCGCCAGATATTAGACATTATGCTTGAAAGAAGCTGAATCAGAATCAGCTGAATCCTGTCTCTCATTCTCATTGCAATCCAAGTATTCATTTTCTTTTATTCAGAGAAGTGTACTGTCCGTATGTTACGAATTTTTTTTGATAAGCGATGGTGCCAGTTAATTTGAAGGTTAAATGCTTACTTATTTTTTATTAATTTAAGAAAAATCAAGCCATAAAAGCATAGTTCTGTAAACTCAATAGGTTTTATTCAAAAATAAAAGGATTTATTTAAATAGGAGTAATATGATACGAAAGTACTTACTTAGTACAAACGATGTCTGCCACTTAACATATTTAAACAAATTCTGGATTTATATAAAAAGGAGTCTTTTTCACTAACAGTCATTCCACTACTAGTTATCGACTATCACAAAACAGTTATTGAGTTCTCTCTTAAAATGTTAAGAGTCACAATCATAGTAACTTTAATGCTTATTGGTAAGGGATTATCCATTCTATAAGTAATTTTATGATTACTGTAATGTATCACGTTGTCCATTCAACTGTTTAAAAGTTTTAAATTATTCCAAATAAGTTCATTGAATTGATATGTTTTCTGCACAATTAACAACGAATTATAGTAAAATTTACAAAATAAGTAATGATTAAAACTGTCTTTATTAGTATTTTTAATACAGAAGGTTTTTGACAAATAATAAAATATATCGAGTTTTAATAAATACTATTAAAAATCTAGCATCTGAGTCGTAAAATAACTTCAATTTTTAAAATTATAACAAAGGTTGAATACAATAGTATGATATTTTAATTTAATTGATAAATCATGTTCTTTTCCTATTGTAACGTTTTTTTTTTTATTTTAAATCCTAAGGGGCAAGCGAGCAGACGGCCTATCTGATGGTAAGCAGTCACCGTCGCCCATAAGTATATTTACGTAAATTACGTAAATGCTTTATAATTTATATCCCATCTTTTCAGTGAGTGCAGTATGTATCAATCTGTCGTGTAATTCGTGTGGCATCGAGTGTGCTCCAGCTTGTGGAACGAGACGATTCCGTTCCTGCTGCTTTAACTACCTGAGGAAGAAACGAGAAGATCATGAATTCACTTATAATATTGAACAATCAAAGATACCAGTTTTCTCCATTGATGATCCCGACACCTGGAACGTACCTGACATCAATGGTTTCAAGATTGGCCCAAACGATTTTCGTGTAGAAAATGCATTTCATAGAATGTAGTGGATCACTTCGGAAGTATTGCGATAACTGCACATTTATTAGGTTCTATATTTCATCGCATTCTTAATCTGATTTGCAATAGTTTTTTAAATAAACAGAATTGCAAGAAATAGTTATTGTTTTGGTATATATTTTAAATATAATTTACAACTTCGGACTTTACTTTTCTTGAAGATATACGATTATAATATTAGATATATTTCATTTCATTTGATTTCTTCTACGAGAAACAATATTTTATAAGTTAATAGCAAAGAGTAATTTACCTCGCTTTAATCTAAAATGTAACATCTTTTAAAGTATGTAAGCAAAAAACAAACCTTCTTAATATAATGAAGGTTATGTACAAGTATGTCATGAAAACAAAATATGGCTTTATATATGAATATGAGATGTTTATTAAAATAAATTAATGACACTTCTACATTAACAATATATTTTTTTACTTTAATAATACTCATGTAAATAGTAAAATAAATATAATTATATATCTATATTTGATTAAAAGAAAATCATAATTGTAAAGGGGATACTAGGAGATTGTTAAAAATCCATGAATTTAATAAAAAGCTATGTTCAAGCTTTCACAAGTATAAACGTGATATAATAGATCTGACAACTTGTTTTATTTATAAAGAAATACATTATATAATACATGCTTGCACCTAACACCTAAAACTTGTTTGTATTCAAATAAAAATTGAAGATCCTGATGAATGACGGTCTCTTTACAAGCAACTTTTTTCTTTGTTTGCGTTATTTAAAATTTAATAGCTTTGAAGCGTAAATAATAAACAATTGAAGACAAATGAATTGCATAACTAAACTTATATATATACTTTTTAAATCAGGTACACCAATTTATTTCCCTTATTTTATAAATATATAAGATGTAAATACAGTTTATTTTGTTATGTTATCTGTAATGAATGCTCTGAGTCTTGAACAATAACAAAGAGTAAACAACTAAGAAATATCTTGGGTATCGATTTTTCTTGTATAACTATAATGGAGTCTTCAGGCTACGTGTCTTTTTACAAGGTACAATTTTTAAATGTATATTTCATATAAAAGAAAATAGTAATTGGAATTTCAAAGCTTTTAAGTCAATGATTTGCAAAAGATATATCCCAAGATACCTTTCACCATGTCACAAAAGTATTTATTCTTTGAATACTATTTATTAGAGTAAAAGATAATGAGCCAACGGATGACATAGCATATTTTACAAATACAAAAATATTTGTAATAACAAAACATAAAAAACGATTTCAATATTTTTAACTTATTGGCAATTTCAATATTTTTAACTTGATGCAATATAGAAATTCCTTTTATAGGTCGAACCTGGTAGTTTTAGATGTAGAGCTATATCTAAGAGTTGCTGGGCTTCCAGTAATAAAACACATTTCTTTTTTATTAAAGCCCAAAATATAAACGAATCTAGATTTTTACATTAATTAATTTAATTTGTTTTACTTACTACTTGTATTAATATCAACCACCTTGGTATTTGAACACACAGCGATGTCTTAGAACATTCGGATCATATGAAGAACAAGGAAATCATTTTGTTAGTGACAACTCAGTATTTTAATAGCTATGAAGCTATTAAAATACTGAGTACATAACAATAATTATGAAATAATATTAAATATATTAATTTAAACAAGTAAGCTGTTTTATGAAGTGAATTATAATAATTTATGAGCAATTGTGTAACTACTTTTATAAGTTTTCGATCATACACATATAACTTTTATAGGAAAAATATTAAGTATCCTTTTTAAAACTAACAATACAAACAGTTGAAATCATCATACGTGTACATATTTGTTACAGTATTAATTCTGTTAGTACTTGGTATTGTTCTAGAAACGGAGAAAACAGTTCTAATCCCCTAAAGATGCTACAACACCTGCTAAACAACAACTTGAAATACAGATTTACGTTTGACATATTACAATGTCTTCTCAGTAAATGAAATGATTTTGTAATCCTCGTTGTACATATATGTATCTAGAATACAGTTTTTCTCAGTAATTAACTATACGGGTTTCACAGATCGGTATCCTGGGAATACTCAGACTACCTTCATTTATTAACCATGCTCGAAATATAAATTAGGGAGTTTCATTGAGGCTAAAACGTAGACAGCTACGATTAAAATCCTAGAGCTTGAAAAAGTGCGGAATTACTTAAAGCCTGTATACTGTATAGTCTCTTTACCTATATAGAGCATACGTCTGATCGTGTGTGAAATACTTCTGTTACATCTAGGTGGTTGCTGCCAAAAATATCATCCCGCTGTTGGTACTCCGTGAAGATATATGCAAATTGGTTTAAGTGACCACAACTTGGCTAAATCTAGTCAGCCCTTGAGCACAGGGAAAAAGAAGCCAGCCTCTTGTGATTCTGTAGATTACACTTTAGAGAGTGTGCTCAGAAATAAAGGGTTTCCACATTGGTGTAGCTCCTGAATTTCTTCGGATTATAATTTCTTTGTATTTAGGAATAAATAAAAAAAAAACTGCTACTTAGACAATACGCTTACCACATGAGGTTTTATTCTCACCAATAAATATAATTTAATAAAATTAGTGACATGCCAGAATTAAATTAACTTTATGAAGTTATTTTAGATTGTCTAAACTAAAATGACTCATACACACTTTTAGCTTTAAAATATTGTTAGCTTTATTAAAACATTTTGTACTATATTGATGACAATACGTTGATTTACTTATAACAAAAATAAATAGACTCAAATCATTGAATCAGAGATGATGTTTAAATTGCACTGTTTGTCGAATATAAACGGTTGTCGACGTTTTGATGACCAGGGCAGCGGTGCTTGTATTGAAAGTTTCTGACACTAATGCCCTTTGTACCTATATAAATCTTGTGCTCATGTGTTACTCGGACCTCTCTATTGAAAAGGGTCGAAGATGAACTTAATGGATTGTATTTCTTTCTTAACAGTTATGATCGGTCACTTTTTATAGAAAAGGAACTGAATTCAATCTATTTATCCACGTAATACTAATAAGATGTACTCCTACAAATATTACAATATACGTAATGGGGTTTTCATTACTTTTATTTCATAATATATAATATGTATACATAAGTTAAGGAACTTGTATATTTTATTTTATATTTCATTTAAAGACAGGATGATTTTGAATTTGTTCTTGGTAATTAAAAAGTTGTGCTTTTCAGTACCCAGGGATAAATTTTTCATATTACTTGTTTATTTATTGTAACGTGGAGATCTGATTGTTATTTTATTGAAACCTTTCGTTCCTTGAAATATGTCTTATCTTAAAAGTCTTCTTATAATGTCAATACCGTTTTATTCAAAAAACCTTTGAATATTTGAAGACCTCGTTAAGTCCATAAATTGGTACCGAGATCCATGCTTGTATGTTTCTCTTAATAATGTTAATTTCAGTAGCGCCTTAGTGTTATATATCTGAGTCGTTTCTATTTCGGCTTAATGCGAGTAAAGTCTCTTGCGAAAGATCGCCAGATATTAGACATTATACTTAAAAGAAGTTGAAGCAGTAATCTCTTCAATCTCCTGTCTCTTATTCTCGTTGTAGTTAAACTATTCATTTTCTTTTCTTCGGAGAAGTGTATTGTCCCTATGAGACGAAAATTTTGAAGCGAGAGGTGAATTTTTCCATAAGTGATGGTGCCAGTTACTTTTAAGGTTGATTGATGATTAAAGAAAAACCATAAGCCATAAAAGCATAGTTCTGTAAACTCAATGGGTTTTATTTAATTCACAAGGAATTTGTTTAAATAGGTGTAAAATGATACAAAAGTACGTACTTAATACAAACGCTGTCTGCCACTTAACATATTTAAACAAATTCTGGATTTATATAAAAAGGAGTCCTTTTCACTAACAGTCATTCCACTACTAGTTATCGACAATCACACAACAGTTATTTAATTCTCTCTTAAAATGTTTAGAGTCACAATCATAGTAACTTTAATGCTTATCGGTAAGGGATTCGCTTATCATCCATTCTTTAAGTAATTTTAACATTACTGTAATGAATCACTTTGTCTATTGAACCGTATAAATGTATTAAATCTTTCGAATAAGTCCCTAGCATTGATTTGTGTTTTACACAATAAACAACGGATTAAAGTAAATAATACAAAATAATGATTAAAACTATAATATCTTAATTGATAGTTTTAATGTAGAATGACAAACAATATGACGAGTTTTAATAAATACTAGTAAAAATTTTGCATCCTTGGGGTAAAATCAAAGTCTGTCCCGGGATAAAATAAACTCGATATTGTTTATTATAACAAATGTTTCAATTTACTGTATATAGTATGACAATTAAATTAATTTGATAAATCCTGTACTTTTCCTGTTGTAACGTAAATGCTTTATAATTTATATCCTGTCTTTTCAGTGAGTGCAGTATGCATCAATCTGTCCTGTACTTCGTGTGGCATCGAGTGTGCTCCGGCTTGTGGAACGAGACGATTCCGTTCCTGCTGCTTTAACTACCTGAGGAAGAAACGAGAAGATCATGAATTCACTTATAATATTGAACAATCAAAGATACCAGTTTTCTCTATTGATGATCCCGACACTTGGAGCGTACCTGAATACAATGGTTTACAGATTGTCCCAAACAATTTTCGAGTAGAAAATGAATTTCATAGAATGTAATTAGTTGATTACTTCTGAAATATTTTGAAACCTGTTTATTTATTGGGTTCTTTACTTTGAATTATTTTAAACCTGATGTGTTATAGCTTTAAATAAACACAATTGCAAGCAAAATATTTTGTTTTAGTGAATTTTCAAAAGTGAATTGTAAGTGTAAGTAAAAGTAAAAATATGTTAATGGAACTTCCGAGTTAAGTTTTCGTGAAGATATTCGCATATAATATTATATTAGAAATTTTCTACGACTAATAACATATTATAATTTTGTGGAAAAGGTTCATTTATCTCGCTATAACCTAAAACTTTACATGTCTTAAGTATGTATTCAAAACACAAATCTTCTAAATATAATGAAGATTATGTATAATTATGCCATGAAACGCTTATTAAAGTAAAATAATATTGTTGAGATATATCCTAGGAGATTGTTAAACATTCATTGAGTTTATAAAAACTATGATCAAGTTTTCAAAAGTATAAACCTGATACAACAGATCCGACTACTCATTTATTTATATATATGTACAATGTATGTATACATTATATTATACATGCTTGCTATACTAAGCTTTCTGTATTGAAATAAAAGTTAAAGATACTGATGAATGATGAGGCGCTCAAAAGCAACTTTGTTATCGGTTTGTGTTAAGTCAAATTTTATAGCTTTTAATCGTAAATAAGAAACGATTTAATACACCTAACTTTTGTGATAAAACAATTTTTAAATTTTCGTATAAATACTTTTTAAATCAGATGTAAAATTTCGTTTTTAGATGAACAAAAATTATTAATATTTTATATTTAATCAAGAAGAATTTCCCTTATTTTATTAATATATAAGATGTAAATACAGTGTATTTTGTCATGTTATCTGTAATGAGTGCTCTGAGTCTTGAACAATAACAAAGAGCAAACAACTAAAATATATCTTGGGTATCGATTATTCTTGTATAACTTTATTGAGTGTTCAGGTTACGTCTCTTTTTACAAGGTATAATTTGTTAATGTATATTATATGGAAGACTTTTTTGAATAGGAATAGTTATTGGAATTTCACAACTTTTAAATCAATGGAATTTCAAAGCTTTAAGCAATTCACAAAGTATTTGTCTTTGAATACTTGTTATTGGAGTTCAAGATAATATGCCTACGAGTGACTTACAATAATTGTAACTAAACTATAACAAAACCTTGAAAAATTATGTCATTATTTTTAATTAAAGGACAATATGACAATTCTTTTTCGATCGAAAGTGTGTAGATATTTCGATACCTCCCACGTAAGTTGTTGTATGCCACAAAATTGCTATTTTGCTTTTTTTATGAAAAGTATCCTATTATGGATCATTACATCCATTCAAACTAAAAAAACAACAAAAACACTATTTTTAAAGGATTTGTCAGACGTATAATGTTGTAATTTCCAAACGCGAACGGATTAAACTGATGTATATGCCTATGCAACTGTTTTAACAACACCGTTGGCTAAGAATTTCTGAAGACTAGTATTATAACCCAAAATGTTCTTGTTTAAACACAAATTTTGTTTTATAAACAAATTTTGTTTTGTACACTAATTAATTCAAATTCTTTTACTTAAAACTAATATTAATTTCACCTGTTACACAGGCATAACCAGATATTAAGTTTACGGTATACCATTGTATAAAGTACGGAATGCTGACTCTGAGCCATCGGTGCGAATGGGAAAGTGAAGTGGGCATCGCACGCCTCGCACCATCGGTGGGAATGCAAAATGGGATTTAACATATATTCAGTCTGGATTCAATCGCTGACTTACAGACACCTATTTGCGAGTAGGATGTAGTTAGTTATAAGATTTAATTATATGTAGAATGGGTCTAACGTAAATCGCTGACTTAAAGACCCCGCTCTAGCTAGTAGTTTAATTTAAATCTTAATTGTTAAATTGAATATATTTTATAAGTAAAACGAATTTTTCTTGCTTTTTCTATTCCTCCCTGCAGAGGAGAGGTGAACGTTTAACGCAACCTCGTTGGAAGTTGCATAAGAAGTTTCAATTTAATAAAAGAATCTTATGATTATATCCATTTTTTTTGGATTCAACGAAAGGAATATTAAATTTAAATAAAAGCTTTCCATGAATGCCAAATTATTTGCAAAAAACTGTTAATATACATATATCTAAATGTTCAAAGAAATTTTACGATATCATGTGTAACAAAAAATATACCCTGGCATTTCTAAATTAAATTACAATATTTCTTTAACATTTATTTGTGTTTGTTATCTTTTAAGATTAAAAGTAGAAGTTACTCAATCGTTTTGTTTGTCCATATATTTAACATAGTTTAGTGTAACAGTGATTTTATAGTAATCAAAAGCAAGGCCGAACCCCTATAATGATTTTCAATAATTTTTTTAAATGTTTAATCTTAAACATATAAAAAACACAGTGTTACAAAGGCACTTTTGTTATGTTATCTGTGCATTATGTCTCTTTTATACGTTATGAATATTAAAGGTATTAAAAATCTAAATTATTTCAGTACTGACAGTAAATAATTTTACATTTAAATCGGTCAGTTCTTGTGGATGACAATTTTTCCACCTTTTTTTTATTTTCTGAAGGGAAATTTAATTAATATTTTATTTATTTATTTCCAATTCATTTCGAAATTATACGATTAAATAAAATCAAATAACTACTTTTATAGTAAATAAGATAGTTGATTATTATAAAAGGGCAGCCGTACCGGTTATAAAAGTTTTAGACACTAATGCCCTTTGAACCGATATAAATCTTGTGCTCATGTGTTACTCAGATCTCTCTATTGAAAAGGGAAAAAGACGTATACAATGGATTGTGTTTCCTTCTTTATAGTTATGACCGGTAACCTTTTCTACAAAAGGAACTGACCATTATCTATAATCCGTGTAAATAGTATGACATTTAAACATACATATATGGAATTTGATTAAAGTAACCGAAACGTTGGGAGTACGTAGTATTTTTTAAATTAAAATAATTAAAGAACAAAAGTAATCCGAAAATATTAGTTTGTTTTAAATTAATGTTCTTGAAAGTCTCAGATCTCATTATAAAAGGAATAAAATTGTTACCTCTATGTCAATATAAACGAATGGCAAAGAGACTTCAAAACTGAGATAAGCACATAAATTTGTAAAAATACTACATTATTTGGAGTAAAAGCCGAGGTATAACGTGTAAGTTTGGTTTATGTAGTAAGTATTTATGCTAAATCAGGACAGTCTCACATTGTTATATTAATGATTGTTGAGCTACATTTAAGAAGAGTCGAATATCTTAAGTTCAAAATAATATTGATTCTTGAGCGAAGAGAATTTGTAATCAAACTTTCAATTATCCATACCCGACTGTGAATTTTTACATTCACGACTGATAAAGTTATTTTATCACAATATTATGTATATATATGAAAAATTAATTCAATTCACGAGTAACATTAAAAAGGGGTAAAATGATACTAAAGTACTTACTTAGCACAAACACAATCTTCCACTTACTACATTCAAATAAACAGTAGCTTTATATAAAAAGGGGGATGTTTTCAATAACAATCATTCCAGTCTGTACTAGTAATCTAGTAACATAGTTTTAGAATAATTTATTTCAGAGTAAAAATGTTGAGAGCAGTAGTCATTATTACTTTTATGCTGATCGGTAAGAAGAAGCACAGATAATTATTTTTTTCATTATTTTCAAGTGTTGTATAAATATTTATTTCAAAACAAATTTATAGTGTAAAAACGTACGAATAAAAAGTTATATGAACCATTTTAAACTAGCGGTTAAAGGACTTGAATCTCCGTCAGTAATAAAACAAAAAATAAAAAAAAGATTTTTAGCCTTGAATCTATGGCATTACATTCTTAAAGGAATATTTTAATTATTATTTTTTTTTTCCAATTATTACTTCATCAACTCAGTATATTGTATGATAAATAAAAAAAATATACTGACAAAATCTTTTTCCTTCTATAATGCTCTAATTCTTTTAATTTATATCTATTTTTTCTCAGTGAGTGCAGTATGCATCAATCTGTCGTGTAATTCGTGTGGCATCGAGTGTGCTCCGGCTTGTGGAACGAGACGATTCCGTTCCTGCTGCTTTAACTACCTGAGAAAGAAACGAGAAGATCATGAATTCACTTATAATATTGAACAATCAAAGATACCAGTTTTCCCAATTGATGATCCCGACACTTGGAGCGTATCTGAAATCAATGGTTTCAAGATTATCCCAAATGATTTTCGTGTAGAAAATGAATTTCATAGAATGTAGTTTGTAGATCAACTCGGGATATTTACGACCACTCCATGTTTACTGGATTCATTCTATTAAAGCATTTTAAACTTTATTGTGTACTTCACAGTTTCAAATAAACAAAATTTCATATAAAAAATTTGAATGTATTTTCCATCGGACAAGTATCTTAGTAACAGAAAATATGTTATTAGATTTTGTACTATTCAGTTCATTTTCTTGAAGATATTCGACGTATTATTTGTTTTATTGTATTGGGTGTATATGGACTGCTTAACTTCTTGACTATGTTAACTCCTGACCATACAATAATAAAGTGACTTTTAAAATAAAGAATAGTGTGTCTTTTCTGACCCTTATAACATTTCCTTTAAATTCCGTCGATATAGATGTGCTGGGTAAAAGTCAGCGGGGTAATCTCACAAATGAATCAATCATAACTGAAATATATAATTGATTGCTTCTATTTTTAATTATATTTAGAAATTAAGATGCGTATCTTTATTCGTATTAAACTAAACAAATTGTGTATATTGAAAGTGTTTAAAAATCGAGTTAATGTGAATAATTTAATAAATAAACTTATTAAACATACATATGTATATATTTTTATTCCAACTGCAAAAAATATATTCTCATGCAGCGAGTTAGTTTTAACCACGATTTCCGCATAAGTAGTAGGACTTTATTCAATTGAGATAATTGAATTATACTTAATAAAATACACACAAAAGTTTTCATCAATTTATTTCTATGTCTTTCTTTCTAATTTTTCTTTTAAACCTCATACAATTTAAGACGGAGAAATTGTTGCTGGTTAAAGTTATAGTCTCTTCCAAAAGGACTTTAAACCTTTTTTTATGGTCATGGCTGATTTATATATAATATGAAAAGATACTTTAACGCGAAGTTTTTCGGTGTAACTGTGATTAAAACAGGCTATTTGACACAGCTCATCTTTTAAAATTCTAAAATAAATAATAACATGTATGCCTGGAATTTATAAACACTAACAAATATAAAAGTATTAAAATGTGTTAGTTAAAACAATATTTTCACGTAGAGTACAACAAATTTAATACAATATTTCACCAGATAAATATATTTCGGATTATCTACATATTTAAAATACCTTTAGTCATTGCTTAAACCATTTTTTTATATGTACTATATGTTTTTATAACTCTCATTATCATTTTACCATAATATTGATTCCATAACAGTTTTGTAAACAATTTATTTTCCTCCCTATATTGCACCCTAAGGATATAAAAAATTCTTATTCTTGAACCTTTTATTATGTTATCAATAGCATCTAAAATATTTGAGTGAGATAACAAGTATATTCCATTATTTGTTGTTTGAATACGGAAAGGAAAAAATATTTTATGTTACGATATTAATGACTTTTAATGTGTTTTCATAAAAAGCAAGTTTTTTCTCCATATATTTAAAAAAAAAAAAAAAAGGATTTTTGACTCTAATTCAACAAGTTAAAACAATATAATATAATTGATAGTTTATAATATTTATGTTTAAATTATATGAAACCGAATTATCTTGACTAAAATTTTATATCACAATTTTTTTATTTCCATCAAGCCTTACCTAGCTGGCAATAACAATATTTATAGTAATAAAATTTTATGACATTTGTTTTCGTGCACATTTTTATGATATGTCATAACCGTACCTAAATGTTGATTTGTTATATGTAATATTATGTCATTTGTGATTATTATTTCACTTTGATCTGGCGATTCAGCTAAAATAACTGAAACCGTTATCTTTACATATAATAAAATTGTAGAAAAGTGCTGTCTGTACATTGAAAATAAAAATAAAAAAAACAGCAGGCGTTATTGTTATGTCGATGTCGAACCCAAAAATGTAATTAACTTTTTTTGTCTGTTTGTCTGTTCACGCTAATCTCAGAAACGGCTGATCTGAGTTGGCTGCGGTTTTCACGAATATATTGTGGTATGCTTCAGTTATGCTTTAGTGTTCGTTTCATATCAATCGGTTCATAAATAAAAAAGTTATGTCAAATTAAAGAACTGAAGAACTGCGTTCAATATTCGATCGGGTGTGTCAATTGTATGTGGCTCTGTCCCGTGTTAGCAATCCCAGCAGCCTGTATGATTTCACCCCCGATGGCCATACGTCTAATATTGTATATAGAGAAGCATTACAGTAAAGTAGGTTTTTAGCTACCCAAAATGACTGTGATTATGACCCAAAATAAAAATAAGTATATATTTAAAAAAAACGCTGCTCATAGTCACTATTCCACGCGAACGAAGTCGCGGGCACAGCTAGTATATTATAAATATAAAAATTGTAAACATGTAGAGGTGTAACAGATGTAACTCGTATTATTTATACTTTATAAGGATATAAATTTGTTCAAGCCTTCGTTTGAATTTTTTACTGTAAAGACTGAAAAATCGCTACAGATTTAGAAACAACAAGAATAAGTAATTTTTATAGTGCTGAATTAAATAATTTTACACAAGTTATAATAAAATACACACTTTCATTGCAGGACCTAATTTATTTGTGATATATCAAGAATATTAAATGTGGAAATCGTAGATCTCGTCACTTAGACTCGTTCTGATAAAACTTTAATGTCAGTCATAAGAACCAGGTAAATTAATTTTGAAATACAGGCATCTATCTAGTCCTGTTATAAGTTTTGTTCCGAATAAAAATTCATTTTTCAAATCAAGTATTAACAGTAATTAAAATTTTAACCCTACATATTTTTCAAATCTTAGCAAAAAAGAAAAATATTCTTTTGTTTTATATATTTACAACATTTGGCTTTAATTGTTGGGTCACTAATCTATGTGTTTTGGAACTATTTTCAAGGGAAATTTTGCCGTCGAAAATATAAAATGAGAGACTCAATGACCAGAGTAGGCCATGTTTTTAGGAACTGACCGTTATTTTAAGTCTACAGGGTTCCAGACTACATGAGGTCAGTTTTCAAATCTTATAAGGTTTGGGTCGGTTCGTGGGTGGTTGATTGGTTGGAGTCAGGTTTGGGTATTTCGTGACATGTGAACAAGTGTAGAGTCCTGCTGAAAAGTCTACGGTATATATTTAAAAAGCGCCTTGCTGAAAAGTTTAAACACATGATACAAAAGAGCATCTTGATACATTTTGGCTAGTTTATACTTCTTTTTCATAAATTGTACTTAAGTGACTCCCTGATAAGACACGCCTCATTAAACCATTAATGACATATGATGATTTCCACGTTGGATCTTTCCGACCACCTGATAACTTAATATTAGTAGTATTTTTTTTTATGTGAAAGGTGGCAAACGAGCAGACGGCCCACTTGATGGAAGGTGGTTACCGTCGCCATGGACATCCGCAACAAAATGTTGCAGATGCGTTGCCAACCTTGTTTTTTAGGGATAGGGAGGGGTGGGAATAAGGAAATGAAAGGAAAGGGTAGGAATAGGGAAAGGGCAACCGGCTTTCTCACTCATCGGACGAAACGCAGCCATTTAAGGCTACTTCCCGCCGATCTTCTGTGAGAGGGTGGTACTTCCCCGGTCGAGCCAGCCCATGTTCGAGCTGTAGTAACTCACCATAGCTAGGCTCTACCACCTTCAAAAATGTGATTTTTTATTCGGAATAGCATTCTGAAAATGTGATTTTACTCATAGGTAAAAAGGATACTCGTATATCCGTGTCTTCCAAAATTGAATTAGGATAGGTCCTGTTTATTTTACATAAGCATCGAACTTGAGATTTTGTTTTATCATATGAGACAGAATGTCGAGATAAGTCTTGAATCTTTATTTTTTGCAATAAGACTTTTTCCTGCCGCATGGGGTTTCGATTAATTCTAGTGTAATAAAAATATAAAATTCGTTTTTATTATATGAAAAAATTAATATCTATGTAATATATATGTATATATTTTATGTGAAAGGTGGCAAACGAGCAGACGACCCACTTGATGGAAGGTTGTTACCGTCGCCCATGGACATCCGCAACATTTTGATGCGGATGCGTTGCCAACCTTGTTTTTTGGGGATAGGGAGGGGTGGGAATAAGGAAATGAAAGGAAAGTGTAGGAATAGGGAAAGGGCAACCGGCTCTCTCACTCATCAGACGAAACGCAGCCAGTAAAGGCTACTTCACGCCGATCTTCTGTGTGAGGGTGGTACTTCCCCGGTCGAGCCAGCCCGTGTTCGAGCTGTAGTAACTCACCACAGCTAGGCTCTACCACCTTTAAAAAATATATAATTTATAAATGTAATATATATTTATATTACATATATTTCATTAATTCGTAAAATAAAACGGATTTTATTCAAAAATAATAATTATTTTAGGCAAACTCAACAGGAGATAAATAAAAATATAATCTAATATGAGCTTTTAAATAAACAAAACGTTAATACAAAATTGTAAAACACAAAAACATAATCCTGAAAAAATAAATAAAATTTAATATTACATAGATATAGTAATTAATATATTTTTAAATACCATTTGTAATTTTACTTATTGAAAGATTATTTAATGGTTGGTTATACATGCCTAAGTAAAAGAATAATGAGAATTTTTTCCGACAAATTTATCCAGTTATTTACTATACAAATACGGAGTATAAATAGTTTGACAAATACAGACGATTAAGAAATAATTTAAGCTTTGCGTGTGAATGCATGCGTCAATTTGTTATAACTCGTTTTTGGGAATCGCATACTCTTTTTGAGTAAATTTACCTTGTTAAAAAAAATGGAACCAGAAATTATACTAATCTCTGACAAATATTGAAATCAAATTATAATAAATTGTTAGATCAATAACTTTAATAATAGTAACTTTAAAATTTTATTGGATTAAAAAATCTAATGTCATTTAAAGATTACAGTTTCACTTAATGGAGTGATCGTAAAATGAAAATACCTTACATAGTTTTGGACAATAATTTATACTCTTTTATTGCTGTACCAATATAAATTAACCATAAAAAACCGTGGTAACTTAGTGACGTCGATAAAATTGCAAATAGAACTCTTAATATGTTTCTAGATTAAAATGGAATGTTTGATATAAGTCGAATCTGTTCAAGTTTTAGGGTTTACCGAACGGTTCAATAAAATAACAGAAAAATCCAATTAAATTTATAAACAGTAGTCTGAGAACATGTTTTTTTCAGATGTTTATAGATGATTATAGTGTAGATGATTTAAAAAAAACGTAATACATTTAAAGACTTATCAGAACTGGGGGTTTTATATTTGTAGTGAACATATTATATGAATGTAAAAATAAGTAGCTTCTATATATATCTATATAAAGTGGCAGGGATTATATTTTCCAACAGTTTGTTACGTGACCATAAAATAAATGAAATATTAAGTTTCAGACAGGGCTGAATATAACAGTTGTTGTCCAAAGTAAAGTTGTTTTTAGTAACACGAAACTTAGTGAATGAAAACCAGTAGGATGCCATAACTTAAGTAATAAGTGATAAGGACTTAAAAAGGTAGTATTATTATATACAAAGCAAAAACATTTAATTCACATAATATTGGATAAAGTTTGACTATGAATTGTGAGTTTAATTTTATTAATTCGCCTATAGTTTTTTGTATTTTACGATTGGCCCACTGTGGCCCATTTGCGTTTCTTTCGAGAAGTGTTTGAATTCCTGGAATCTCTTATTTTAATACTAAAACTATGATGTTCTTCTTTACGTTTTTATATTGTCTCCTTATAAAAAAGTGGTGGTTAAAATTACAGTTATCTATCGGCATGTTTTCCACCACGTAAACCGTTTACTCATTTGTTGTAAGAGTAAATATATATTTACTTTTTTTTATTAATAAATCATAAATAATTTTTCTCTTTATTAATATTAATAAAAAGAAAAATTACGTAACCAACTTAGATAAGTATGTCAAAGCAAATGTATTTTTGTTTAATTTACTAACCCATTAACATAGGGGTAAAATGATACCTAAGTACTTATTCCATACGAAAGCAATCTTCCACTTAAGACATACATGTATAAACAAACAATGGATCTATATAAAGAGAAGTCGTTTTAAAAATCAGTCATTCCAGTGTCTACTAGGAATCAACTACCATTTTTTTTTTTTTTTTTTTTTTTTTTTTTTGTTATCCTTGGGAAAATGCATTTACGCATCCCCGCCGTTTTTAGAAAACAGCGGGGTATGTGGGACTCGTTGCCACTACCCACTAAAAACCCAAGGGTGTTCCACGACGGCCCTTGTGTCGGGGCGGGGGATCGCTTTCGCACTCCCGCCAGCTTCCCCGACAGGCTGGCCCGCATTCTGGGGGCCCTTCTTCTTTTGGGGGGCACTGGTACTGCCCCCCCCCTCATGTGGTGCTCTTTTCCACGCACGTGACCTCGGGAGTTGCATGGGGAACACAACCATGCAACTCCCTTTACCGTTTAGCGCGGGTTGGGGTCCGCGCCACGGGCCATTTTCATGGCGGCCTCAAATCGTCGCGGGCGTCTCTGCGGCGGCGCCCAGCACGGTGTCTGCGAGAGGGGAGGGAAGATGAGGCTTCCCTCACCCTACCGGCCTCCTCCTTCGCGGACATTACCGCCTCGCAGAAGGCGACCGCGGCGTCCCAGGCCGACTCACGCCGCACCATGCACCACACCATGTGGTGCAGTGATAAGGCCCCAGCCTCCATTGCCCCAACTAGGTCACGGCGCTGCTCCGCCCATGCTGGGCACACCTCCAAGGTGTGCTGCGCCGTGTCCTCGGGGCAATCCGCACAATGGTGGCATGCCGGAGATTCCTCCCGCCCTATTCGACACAGCTACTTCCCAAAGCAACCATGCCCTGAGAGTACCTGTGTTAGGCGGAAGGAGAGGCCACCATGCTGTCTCTGCAGCCACTCCGACATGACGGGCCTTACCGCCGCTATCGTGGCGTGTCCCGCATTTGGCGTCTCGAGCCGCTCGTACCACTCCGCCATGGACAGCAACACTAGCTCTTTTCTGCGCGCCTCGACCGCTCTAGGCATGACCACCGCGCCTCTCTCCAGCACTTCCCCGCGCCACCTGTACAGCTGTGCGAGAAGCTTAGCCTCCAGGTCCCATGGTGGGGATCCGGCGAGTAGGGTTGCAGCCTCGAAGGAGACCGTGCGGTACCCTCTTATGGCCCTAATGGCCATCATCCTCTGCGAAGTCCGCAGCAGGGCTACGTTTTTGGACCGCAGATCTTCCGCCCAAACAGGGGCTCCATAGAGGGCCATCGATCGTACGACCCCCATGTAAAGCCTCCTGCAGGAGCCGCTTGGTCCCCCCAAATTTGGCAGCAACCTTGACAGGGCAGCCGCCACCGAGCGCAAAGTAGGGGCAAGTCGGCGAAAATGCTCGACAAAGTTCCATCGGGAGTCTAAAACAAGACCCAGATAGCGCATGGATCCTTTGACCCCGATGGTGACTCCTCCCACTACAATGGAAAAGCCGGTAGGCGGCCCCCGTCGCGGGCCGTGGAAGAGTATGGCCTCGGACTTGTTGAGAGCCACCTCTAGTCCCAACCGCCGAATACGACCCACCACTTGCGCGACCCCAGCCGTGGCCAGCACTGCCGCTTCGCGATACGTTTCGCCGAGAGCGGTGACCAGGGTGTCATCAGCGTAGCACGTTGCCGCGACTCCGGGGAGGAGTGCGCCACGCAACACCCAGTCATAACCGATATTCCACAGGATCGGCCCTAGGACCGAACCCTGTGGAACACCGCACGACATTTCTCGCCGGAACCATCCCCACTTCCCCGGGAAGACGACTTGTCGCTGTTCTAAGTAGGCCCCGATAATGCTCTGGAGGTAAGGAGGCACCCGATGGTATACTAGCGCCGTCCTTATGCAACTCCAGGGCAAGGTGTTGAAGGCGTTGGATATATCAAGAGATACCGCTAGCAACACCTCGCCCCGCGAAACCGCTCCCTCCGCTTGGGCTCTCACGCGCATAATTGCGTCAATGGTGGAGCGCCCGTGGCGGAAACCAAATTGATTATCCGCCAGATCTGGCCCCACCGTGCGCAGGTGGCGGATAAGTCGGTCAGCGATCACTCTTTCGAGGAGCTTCCCGATCTCATCCAGCAGCACGATTGGACGATAGGCGGATGGACTGTCCGCCGGGCGCCCAGGTTTCTGTAGGAGGACCAGTTTTCCGGTCTTCCAAATAGCCGGAAATTGGTTCTCGCGCAGGCATGCGCTAAAGAGACCGCACACTCGGGGATTTAAGGCCTTCATAGCCAGTACCCACGCACGGCCAGGGATGCCATCTAGTCCCGGGGCAGTCTTCTTCCTCCTCATTTTTTCCACCGCCGTCTGGAGCTCCGCCGGAGTCACCTCAGGTACTCCCTCCTCCGCCGTCCCGTCGTGGCGAGGAATCAACTACCATACATACACAGCTATTTATATTTGGGTAAAAATGTGGCGAGCAACAGTTATCGTTTGTTTTATACTGATCGGTATGAAAAATCGTTCGTCTTTAATTTATACTTACATACTTTATAGTCATTTAAATCATTTTTGAATTCAATTTGTCTTATTTATGTGTCACAAATAATTACATACAAAAATTATGGCAAACGACAATGCAACGATAATTCTCCATATTCATTATTTTTCTTTTATTAATTTGTTTTCTTATTAAGTTACTTCAGAAATATTTTACGTAACAGGTTAACAAATATGAAAAAAAACTTGTTATACATACATATATCACCATTTTCGTTTCAATTATGTTTGCTTAAATTGAACCTTAATTTTTCAGTGAGTGCACTATGCATCAATCTGTCGTGTAATTCGTGTGGCATCGAGTGTGCTCCGGCTTGTGGTACGAGACGATTCCGTTCCTGCTGCTTTAACTACCTGAGGAAGAAACGAGAAGATCATGAATTCACTTATAATATTGAACAATCAAAGATACCAGTTTTCCTTATCGATAATCCTGAAACTGCAAGCAACGTTGCTACTAACGATTTCAAGGCTTTTTAATAATTTATTTCTAGTTAAAAATTTAATTCATCTAATGTAACTTATAGATTACTTCTATATTTGATCATAACTGTATATTCATGGAAATTGTGGTTTCAGATTATTAATAATTAATATTGTAATAAACTTGTATCAAATAACCAATTCATTACAAAAATCACTTTTATTTCTCCTTTCAAACAATAATTTAGAAATATCAGATACCACTTCAATATATCTTCCGGAATAGTGCAAATAAAAGGAACTAGGAACACTTAATTTAATGACTTATAAGGTCACATTTTCACAGAGATCAATTATTTAGCTTTCAATTTATTATCAATGTATGTATGAGTGTATTGCGAGTAATTATTTATAGTGTGTTTGCCATCTATACATTCATGCCCAATTCCCTTCAGGTGAAATGTTTGTAAAGGACTCTCCACCAGTAAGTAATAAATAAACTTAAAGTGTTTTAAGAGCTCTCATGAAGACCTTTATACGTCTTACGTTAGGAGATTGCTTATTATCTACAAATATTTTGTTAAAATGAAATAAACCTTATCTTCTATGACAAAGACTTAATAAAAAAATTTTGGTAATTGTGGACAAAAATCGCGAAAACATTCTTCTTGTTTTAAAGCCACTTTCAGCTGGCATTTTAGTTGTTTGTGGAAATAACTAGTGCCCGCTAAGTCAAGATTTGAATTGTTTAAACCTGAAATTATAATACATACCTATGGTAAACATATCTACTTGCTTTGACGTGTTAATTATAATATTTGTTAATAAAATATCCAATTATTATAATGTTTAAAAAATCACAATTCATTATTAAAATTGAATTTATTATATTTAAAACCAATATCTATTCCCGAATATATAGAAAATGTAGTTGCTTTCTATTACAATAAGGATTAATGAAAGTTAATCACCACCAGGTCTTGGAGTCAGCAATGAATGTCTTAATCTCAATTAACACCATTACCTCTTGGATAATAAATATCTCCTCGGAGACATTCACTGAGATAACTATTACGTTCACCATTACAGTAAATATCCAAGATAAGGGTAAGTAGGAAATACCATATAGCTTACAAAAAGCATCTGCAAATTGAAATATTTAGTAAATTAATATGGTTTTCAAATGAACATAAACTATAAAATATTTCATCATATACTTTCGTTTCGCATAATGAGATCGAAGATTTTCGCGAGTACTCATTTAAATGAAATTAATATTTACTAAGTGTTTTTTATTTTTGATTATAAGCTATATACTCCCGATGTTTCGGCTATTTTACAGCAACCATGATCACGGGCAGACGAGATGTGAATGTCTGTTAGTTGGTCTTGTTACTTATTATCTTCTGCCATCGATTTCTTTATTTTCTGGCGTACCGCTCTGGATGCCGGCAGAATGCGCTTACGGTGTCTCGAGGTCCTGTGATGTGGTCACGTAGTAGTATAATCCGAAAAATATTAGTTTCATTTAAAGAAATAAAACTCGTCAAAATCTACGTTCTCATAACCCAAAAAAAAGTATTAGCAACCCTAGAAACTATTAGATGAAAAAACTAGATTAACAGAAATAACGTACAATGAATTGTTTTATCGTCGAAAGGCTATATCTCTTAAAACAACTTCTTTATACTGAAAAACTTAACCAGAAGGCTAGGAAAGTTGTGTTTATGACGGGTACAAATAGTGTTACTTACGTTAAAATACATATATCTGATAAATATGTCATTTTATTTATGTTTTTTTACTTATATTTATAGTCTAATATAATTGATTTGATAACGTAATTTAAATATACATATGTAGTCTATAAGTTTTTGTAATTTAGATAGTGTATTTTAAATTTTTTTTCTAATTTTCTTTTTGTTCTATCACTATAAGACAAGGACTGTTGAGATATCATATTTATATTATCCCTTACCTTATAAAAAACGAAAATTAAACAATTATTAAACAAAAATTTTACTAACATTTCAATTTATAGATTTATTTGATTCAAACGACAAAACGAGCATATAAAATCACCATCAAAACTAATAGTTTGATACTTATTGTTCGGGAACGTTTAACTATTTACAATATAAGTGTCAGATGTTAAAGAGCAATTAAACTACAGTGAGTTAGAACACTTGCAAAAGTTTGTCTCGCTTAAACGAATGGGGTATTTATGATTTTGGGATTTTAAAAGAAAATTACACTTTAATGAAACTAATATTTTTGAATTACTACGCGTATTTTATTATTTTTAAAAGCTCCATTCTTCCGAAATTTCGGTTATTTTGCTGAAACAATGATGACGGACAGACGAGATGAGAAAAATATTAGTTTCTTTTAAATGAAAACTCGTGAAAGTCTTAGATCATATTGTAGAAGATTTTTGTTTTATTTCATAGGAGCAGCATTGAAGTAGCCATTAATACTCTTTAATTAACATATAAAATGACAGCAATTAACAATTATAGATATTATTTTCTGTAAGGTGAATTGTCAATTAAACAACGAGATATAATATTTATAATAAGAACGAGAACATTTTGATACTTAAGAATACTGAATTTAAATAAAGTTGTAAAAGTTACTTTAAAATATATGTTATATCATCGTCTACTTTTTTCACATAAATTACATAAAATTATTATCAAACATTTTGAAATTAATAATATTTTACAACTTTTAAAACGTTTCGGTAGTAATTGTCATTATTTTTATATTTATCTATTTTCAGAGTCCAAAAGAGAAGATTTACATATAAAAAAACAAAATGAAACAAGAGATACATTAAAAGGCATTTAGTAACAAGACGTCAAAATGCTTTAGAAGTATAATTCAATTAACAAATGCTGGATAGAATGAAATAAATCCTTCCTGAATAATACTCACACTACTTCAGCTAGAGCTGTTTCCATAAAGATTTTGAACAGACGATAGCGAGTCACAATGCTAACTTCTTAATTAATTATATTATAAGCGGGATCACTAAAGAACTAATATACAGTGACTCACTTCTACTAATGAAATATTTCATTCAAAGGGTATATTAGTTCCACTTTATGTTGCTTAAGAGTTTCATATTGGTAAAACTTGAGATTGATTTAGCATATAGTTTATATATTATAGTTTTCAGAAGCGTATATCTTGAGACTACTAGAAAATGAGACTAATAAGCCTTGAAATATGCTTTTTTCACTTTAGGTTGCATATAAAATTTATTTTAGAAATTTGTTTGTATAGTTACTATAGCTTAATCTATGTTGAATTTTTGGCAGATATGGTTACTGGTTAGTAAATTGTCAAGAAACACTGCTTCAATTACATATATAGAATTTAGCTTTTTAATAATATTATTTTTCAAGATGTCTACCTATACATATGTAATGTTTACATCAGGTTGGGTTTTGATTTGAAATTGTATATGAAAACGTTGCTATGTTGACTGTAATGAATATTTCCAAGAAATTTTGTTGACAATTTATTACAAATATCAGGAAGTTTTGTAGATGTTGTAAGTATGACAAAAATATTTTGGAATTAAGTAAAACTGGTTTTCTACCTAAACTAATAATATATTATATATAAATTATGTTTATAAATGTATTTTAGTGATTTCAATTTAATTTTATTGAGAGATTAACGATAATTTTGCAGGAATATTCAATATTTGTTATTATTTCTTGTTATTATACTATTTGGTTAGGGAGTTTGGAATAATTATAATACACAGTTTTATATAAAATGGTCATGCTTAATTTGATTAAACATCGGTTTTTAAATTTCTATTTAAAATTACAAAATAATAAGAGTAATTTTTTAAAATAATCTGTAGAAGTGAGTGAATTTTAAAATCTATCTTTTACTTTAACTTTAAGACACGTACTTTTTATTCTCTTTTCTTGACTAAGTAGGAACTACTTCAAAAGTTATACCGTAAAATAACGATATAAAATCAATAATAATTAATAGATATGGATCTGTCACCACTCAATGGTTAATCACTTTAGTAGGTTAGTCCATGAAAATTTTTATGACTACACTATTGTAGTGATGTTTCCAGCAACACTACTGATGTCCATGATTACTATTTTCCGTCAAGAAACGGGTTTCTGTTCGTTTGCCTCTTTTGATGTATAAAAAAAATCAGTTCTTATTGCTTGTATATCTTAAAATATTTAATGTTCCTCTTAAATCTTATTTAGGAGTTAATGATTGTTATATGTATATGTACTGAGTATGATGAAACCATTTTAAATCAGAATTTATATGAATATACGCATGTTGAGCGTTTTTTGTGAAAGTTTTATATTTTATAGACAATATAAATGAATGAAATTCGTATTAGATATGAAAGCTTATTATGTATATTTTTAATTGTAGCCTATAACTGTATAAAAAGGGAAAAAGGTCTTTAAGAGGCGTCGAGTGTGTCTCAAAGAAATTATCAAAATAATGTTGTGGCCCATGAGGGGATCGAACCCGCGACCTTCGCGTTATTAGCACGACGCTCTAACCAACTGAGCTAATGGGCCGACAGTGCGTTCGTCAGATTAAGTCGCTACTCTCCAGTTAGAATAAAGAAACTTTAATCTATAAATATATCATATAATAAATCCCTTTTTCCCTTGGTCACGGCATCACGTGTGAACGACTGGACCGATTTCACAATTTTTTTTTGTTGTATTGTTATTATTAGGAGAAGGTTCTTATGTAAGAAAATAATACGAAAATAAGTAGAAAAAAAAAACTAGAATAACTACTTTTTTAATAAAATAATGTGTCACTGACAGTAATATTCAAGTAGTTGCTATTAAAACAAAGAAAAAAATAAAACAAGTTTACACGCTTCTTTGTTTAGGGCGGTACGAAGTTCGTCGGGTCTCTTAGTTTTAAATAAATAATTTAAACTATTTAAGTCTTTTGTTGGAATAAAATGTTTCTTAGTAATCAGATACAATATTGTTTGAAATTTTACGATAAGCTTATATTTGTATCAGTAAACATTTAAT